GATAGATAGATAGATAGATAGATAGATAGATAGATAGATAGATAGATAGATAGATAGGATCAACAGAGGTAAGATAGAGAGAAAGAGAGAGAGAATAGATATTGAATAGATCAAGGGTCCTCAAACTTGAGAAGTTTAAGACTTGTGGACTTCAACTCCCAGAATTCCTGAGCTAACATGACTGGAGGAGGAATTCTGGGAGTTGGAAGTCCACAAGTCTTAAAGCTGTTAAGTTTGAGGACCCCTGGAATAGATAAATAAAGAGAGGTAGAAGAGATAGATAGATAGAAAGTGATAGATAACAATAGATACAGGGAAAGAGAGAAAGAGAAAATAGATAGATATATAGATAGGATAAAGAGAGGTAGGATAGAGAGAGAGAGAGAGAATAGATAGATCGACATGACTGGAGGAGGAACTCTGGGAGTCCACAAATCTTAAAACTGTCCAGGTTGAAGACCCCTGGTCTACTAGAAGAAGAAAAATCAGAATGCCTTGGCCATTCTGGGAGTTGAAGTCCACAACTCTTAAAAGCCACCATGATTGGGGACCCCCTGCTCTAAAAAGCAAGCAAACAGCTTCCTTTTAATCTCAGGGAGCTATGCTCTCTCTCTCTCTCTCTCTCTCTCTCTCCCCTTCCCTCCCAGATCCTCACAATTTGGGCATCCGCTGCCGGGTGAACGGCGAACTCGTCCAGAACAGCAGCACCAACCAGATGATCTTCAAAACGGAGGCTCTGGTCGCCTGGGTGTCCCAGTGAGTGCTGTCCTCCCCCGCCCCTATTCTTCACAGTGTAAGAAAATGACCCCTGCGGGGCCAAAGACAGCCTGGGACAAATCTTGCCTTAGCCCAGGTCAAGGGGGCAGTTTTGGACCTTCAGGAGGGGGTCCTAGCAAATTCTACTACAGGTACTCCTTGCCTTAACAATAATTAATTTAGTGACCGTTCAAAGCAGTGGTAGTATTCTACCGGTTTGGCCTGGTTTAGACGGACTGGTAGTAAAAAATGCTAACATTCGGCTGAACCAACAGTAAAAAAAATAGCTACTAGTTCGGCCGAACCAAGCTGGTAGCTTTTGTTTTTCCTCCCTCCCGACAATCAGCTGTTCTGTCGATCAGCTGTTCCGACAGTCATTTGTTTCAACAATGAACTGTTCTGACGATCAGCTGTTCCATAGATCAGCTGTTCCATGGATCAGCTGTTCCGTCAATCATTTGTTTCGACAATGAGCTGTTCCGACGATCAGCTGTTCTGTCGATCAGCTGTTCCGTCGACCAGCTGTTCTGACAATCAGCTGTTCCGACGATCAGCTCTGCTGGGATCCTCCTTGCTGTCTTACTACTTCACCCAGGAGGCTTCCCAGGAGGCAAAAAAGGGCGCACGGTGTGTGTGTGTGTGTGCGCGCGCTGCACGGCCCCCCTCCTGTGCTCAGTTTTTTGCCTTCTGGGCCTCAGGGAAGCCTCTGGGGAGCAAAAATGGGCTCCCAGGAGGCTTCCCTGAGACCCAAGAGGCAAAAAACAGAGTGCAGGAAGGTGCTGCAAAAAAAAAAAAGCCACGCCCACCCAGTCACATGGTCATGCCCACCTAGCCATGCCCACAGAAGCGGTAGTAAAAATATTTGCACCCCATCCCTGGTTCAAAGTTATAACAGCCAGCATTGAAAAAGGTGACTGATGGCTATGAGCGCATGATCAAAAGCCAGGCACTTGCCAATGGATTCGTATTTATGACAGTGACAACGTCCCTGGCGGTCACGCGATCCCCTTTGGCGACCTTCTGACCAGCGGAGTCCATGAGGAAGCCAGATTCACTTAACAACGGTGGCAAGAAAGGTCATAAAATGGGCTCAAACGCCAATCGACCACGGTCTTGCTCAGGGATGGGAATTTGGGGCTCAATTGCAGTCGTACGTCGAGGACTGCCCGGGCTTCCGATTAAGAGCCTTCCTTTACTGTGTTTGATGTTCTTTGCAGGTTTGTCACGTTGTACCCAGGAGATGTCTTCCTGACTGGGACCCCACCAGGGGTCGGAGTTTTCCGGAAGCCACCCACTTTCCTGAAGGTGACCTCTGTTCTTCATTCATTATATTAATGAACTAGCCCATAACCCGGCGTTACCCGGGTATTTATTTATCCCAATCCTATTGTTAGACACGAAAATTCCTGTAGTCGAGACTCACGCTGTTGTACTGTCTGTCGCGCAATTCTTCTATTCCTCCACAAGAGGGAGCCCTGTGAAGTTGTTACCATGGCAGAAGCCATTTTAAAACACACACACACACACATACACACCAAGGGGCGTTAGGGGTGTCTTACCCCCACAGTATTTGTTTCCAGAGGGTAAGTCATCTGTGTACCAAGTTTGGTAAAAAGCAAAAGATAGAAGAAGAAGATAAGACGAAGATATAGATTAATGAATTAATTCAGGCTCCTCTGCCCATTTGGGGAACATTTTGCATACAATCATTCCTGGCCTTCCTGTATTTTTTCCCCCCTGTAACGCCAGTATAACCCATTGCTCTTTTTCAAGCACAAAATGACACGCATCTGTTGTCATTCCAAGCTCTACAGTTCAAGTCCTGCAGGGATTTTATAGGTCAACCCAACTGCAGGACTCTCAAGCTGTGGAAAAAAAATAAAAAACCATTTTGGAAAACTTGCTAAGGCAGGGCTCTTCAAACTTGACAGGTTTAAAACTTGTGGACTTTCCAACTCCCAGAATTCCTCCTCCAGCCAGGTTAGCTCAGGGATTCTGGGAGTTGAAGTCCACAAGTCTTAAACCGGCCAAGTTTGAAGGCCCTTTTGCTGAGGAATTCAACTTCAGTTTTCCAATTGCTTTACACTCTCCTACCTCTATTGGCACAACTTTACTTTAGGATGGGCAGGAAATGTGGCCCCAAAGGCTGTTGGTTTTCACGACAAACTTTAGCACGGCCTTAAACTTTGTGTTCAAGGCGCACTGGGTGTGGTTCGAATGTTGGGTTCTGAAGTTCAAGCTCATTTGGGGAGAAAGAGAGAGAAGTTTGTGGCAGGTCGAGTTGGAAGTCTGCTTCTTCCTGGCAGCCTGCTCCCCGTTGTTGCAACTCGCTTGGGCCAAGGGCTATTGCAGGAATGGCGAACCTTTTGGTTGTGGTGTGCCAAAAGTGTGTGCGTGCCGGCACCCACAGTGCAATGTGCCCCACCCCTGTGTGTACACCCCGTCCCCTTACCTGCCCTGCACATACCTCTCAGCTGATTTGAGACCAATTTGAGGCCGTTTTTGCACTCCCGGAGGCTTAAGGGAAGCCTCTGCAGCTTCGGGAGGCCGAAAAACGGGCCTGTTTCAGCACGTCTGGTATTTCCGGAAGGCCTGTTTCTCAGCCTCCCGAGGCTGCAGAGGCTTCCCTCTGGGAGGGCAAAAATGGCCTCAAACGGGCTGAAAATCAGCTGGGAGGCGTGCCCATGCGCAGAGTAGATAAATACGTATGCCACAGGTTTGCCACCACAGGGCTATCGTAATCCTGTTGTCCTCCACAGAGAGGAGACGAAGTGCAGTGTGAAATTGATGAGCTGGGAACCATCTGCAACCGAGTGGTGTGAAGGTTTTCCTGCTGTGGACCCTGGACAAAACCATTGGCTGGAGTTGTAAAGTGCCTTCCTTGATTCTAACCCAGGAGCGTAAATAAGGAAGTTTCTTCCCGTGCTTTTGAGTTGCTGGAACCTGCTGGAATTAACGGGAGCAGAAGTCAAAACTATCATGCAAGCGCTACCCATAATTTCTGGGCGCTTCAGTTGAAAAAAAGACAAAATGGGCGAGTGATGATGCCCTTTAGTGAGACCCGTTCACGTTTACACCAGAGCAAGACGTTGCTGTGGCACACGTGTGTAAGACGGACTGAGGTTGGCAGATGTATCTCCTTTATTACTTCCAGGTTCCCCGGAGGATTGATTCAGAATAAAGCCATTTTTGACCAACTTTGAGATTGGCACCTGGATTGTTTTAAAAGAGCCTGTTTGGGTTAGTGCTGAAAGCGTCAGGCTAGAAATCGGGAGATGGTAACTTCTATTCTATTTTTTCTCTATTCTATTCTTCCTCTATTCTATTCTATTTTCTCTATTCTATACCTCTATTCTATTCTATTATTATTCTATTATATTCTTTCCCTATTCTATTCTGTTCTGTTCTGTTCCCTTCTATAAAGCAATGCGTGGAAACTAATCCAGCAGAGAAGCAACCTCGAACTAAGGAGAGATTTCCTGACAATTAATCAGTAGAACAGCCCGCCTTCAGAAGTTGTGAATGCTCCAACGCGGGAAGATTTTCAGAAGAGATTGGACCACCATCTGCCTGAAGTGGAGTAGGGTTTCCTGCCAAAGCAGGGGGTTGGACTAGAAGACCTCCAAGGTGCCCCTCTTATTCTAATCCAATCACCCAAAGCACAAGGCGATCTGTTTCTCGCCCTAAAACTTAAATTGCACC